ACCTGGGCACACCTGAGATACACCGGGGCACACCTGGGCACACCTGGGCACACCTGGGCACACCTGGGCACACCTGGGATACACCTGGCTGCACCTGGGCACACCTGGGCACACCTGGGACACCTGGGCACACCTGGGCACACCTGGGGGCACCTGGGGGCACCTGAGATAAACCTGGGCACACCTGGGCACACCTGAGATAAACTTGGGCACACCTGGCACACCTGGGCACACCTGGGCACACCTGAGATAAACCTGGGACACCTGGGCACACCTGGGCACACCTGGGCACACCTGGCACACCTGAGATAAACCTGGGCACACCTGGGGGCACCTGGGATACACCTGCGGGAGCCTGGGTACACCTGGGACATACCTGAGATACACCTTGGGGCACCTGGGCACACCTGGGGGCACCTGGGCACACCTGGGACACCTGGGGGCACCTGGGATACACCTGGGACACACCTGGGACACACCTGGGCACACCTGGGCACAGCTGGGGAGCACCTGGGGGGTACCTGAGATACACCTGAGATAAACCTGGGACACACCTGGGGGCACCTGGGGTACCTGGGCACACCTGGGCACACCTGGGCGGTACCTGGGCACACCTGGGCACACCTGGGGGAGCCTGGGCACACCTGGGGGGTACCTGGGATACACCTGAGATACACCTGGGAGCACCTGAGGGCACCTGGGATACACCTGGGCACACCTGGGGGGTACCTGGGAGATACCTGGGCACACCCGGGGACACCTGGGCTCATCTGGGGCACCCCTGGCCACACCTGGGTACACCTGGGACACACCTGGGCACACCTTGGTGGCACCTGGAGGTACCTGAACACACCTGGGCACACCTGGGGGGTACCTGGGCACACCTGGGGCACACCTGGGCACACCTGGGCACACCTGGGGCACACGTGGGGCACACCTGGGCACACCTGGTCCCACCTGGGCACACCTGGGGCACATGTGGGGCACACCTGGGGCACACCTGGGCACACCTGGTCCCACCTGGGCAGCGCCATCTCACCTGTCCCCCCCGCAGGTGTACGAGGAGCTGCGCGCCATCGGCGCCGCCGCCGCCGAGGCCAAAGCGCGGCGGATCCTGGCCGGGCTCGGCTTCACCCCCGAGATGCAGAACCGGCCCACCAGGAAGTTCTCGGGGGGCTGGAGGATGCGCGTGTCCCTGGCCAGGTGAGCCCAGGTGGGACCAGGTGAGCTCAGGTGGGACCAGGTGAGCCCAGGTGGGACCAGGTGAGCCCAGGTGGGACCAGGTGAGCTCAGGTGTGCAGAACCGGCCCACCAGGAAGTTCTCGGGGGGCTGGAGGATGCGCGTGTCCCTGGCCAGGTGAGCCCAGGTGGGGTCAGGTGAGCTCAGGTGGGACCAGGTGTACCCAGGTGCCCCAGGTGTGCCCAGGTGTGCCCAGGTGTGCCCAGGTGCCCAGCTGCCCCAGGTGTGCCCAGGTGCCCAGGTGCAGCCAGGTGTGCCCAGGTGCCCCCAGGTCTATCCCAGGTGTGCCCAGGTGTATCCCAGCTGCCCCAGGTGTGCCCAGGTGCAGCCAGCTGTGCCCCCAGGTGTATCCCAGGTCTATCCCAGGTGTATCCCAGGTGTATCCCAGGTGTATCCCAGGTGTATCCCAGGTGCCCCAGGTGCCCAGGTGTGCCCAGGTGTGCCCAGGTGCAGCCAGGTGTGCCCCAGGTGTGCCCAGGTGTGCCCCAGGTGTATCCCAGGTGGGACCAGGTGTCCCAGGTGTATCCCGGGTGTGCCCAGGTGCCCCCAGGTGTATCCCAGCTGCCCCAGGTGTGCCCAGGTGCCCCCAGGTGTATCCCAGGTGCAGCCAGGTGTGCCCAGGTGTATCCCAGGTGCCCCAGGTGTATCCCAGGTGTGCCCAGGTGTATCCCAGGTGTCCCCAGGTGTATCCCAGGTGCCCCAGGTGTATCCCAGGTGTCCCCAGGTGTATCCCAGTTGCCCCAGCTGCCCCAGGTGTGCCCAGTTGCCCCAGGTGTGCCCAGGTGTGCCCAGCCAGGTGTGTCCCCAGGGCGCTGTTCCTGGAGCCGACGCTGCTGCTGCTGGACGAGCCCACGAACCACCTGGACCTGAACGCCGTCATCTGGCTCAACAAGTGAGACCTGCGGCGACTCCGGCAGAACTGGGGATTTGGGAATTGGGGAATTTGGGAATTTGGGGAATTTGGGGATTTGGGGATTTGGGAATTTGGGGATTTGGGGAATTTTGGGGAATTTGGGGATTT